GTGGAAACATTAGTTGCTCTGATACCAACTTGTAACATCCCAATTTCGAGTCCAAAACTTTCATTTTAATTAACTGAGTATAAAAGCATTCATAAGAAAACTACGTAAAAAATATATCATTTCATAAATCAACATATCATGTCTGAAAGCCCAAATCATAAGTAGCAACATGTCAGAGTACAATCCCAGAATATCTCAAGTGCGGAAAATCAATGCGTGTGTATATGATGTGCTGCTACCGCGCCAGCTCCTTCCCCTTCGATGAAGAGGTACCTGAAACCAAAACTGTAAACTGTAAGCACGAAGCTTAGTGAGTTCCCCCATCGTATCTCATACCATACAATCACATAGCATACATACTGCCGGGAAATTCTGGGGTGCCCGACCTACCCGGTACGGCCATTCTGGGGTGCCGACCTACCCATGTCAAGCCATTCTGGGGTGCTTACCTACCTTTGTCAAGCCATTATGGGGTGCTGACCTACCCATCGGTCCTAACAACCGAACCTCAGGGGCTATTCCACCCCCTACTGTTACTATCACATATATAATAACATGAACATACTATCAGACATATCTGGGGTGTCCGAACTACCCTTCGGTCCTAACAACCGAACTTGGGGACTATTCCCCTCCTACTACCACTATCACATACAACATATCATGCCAGCATATAAACATATCACAACATATTGTCAGACATATCTGGGGTGTATGACCCGCCCTTCGGTCCTAACAACCGAACTCTACTACTATCACATATAACATATCATGCCAGCATATAACAACCGAAGCTACTAGCTAATACGATGCCCAAAGGAGAAGCAAGTAAGATGTCTTGGGAAGATTTCGTGGTGCAACTGAAAATGCAGTACTGCTCTGAGCAGGATCTTCTGGAGATCAACAATGAGTTCCAAAATCTGAAGAAATGAAGGATGAGTGTCACCGAGTATGCTGCAAGTTATACGGAGAAGATGAAGCTTGTTCCTTACCTAGTTCCAACTGAGCTCTCCAAGGTCAACAAGTTTGCCCATGGATTACCAGCGGACTTTGGTCCAATAGTCAAGCAAGCAACCACCTTGAAAGCCGCCATCTGGGCAGCGGGGAATGTGGAGACCCAGATTAAGGAAAAGAGTCTGGAGAAAGCTGAAGTTGGCGAGAAAAGGAAGTATGAAGGATCTTCAAAATCCAACAAAGAAAGAAAATTCTCAAAGACTGAAAGAGGAGGAGGAGGTGAAGCTAAGTGGTGCGAGAAGTGTTAAAAGAAATACTTCGGGAAATACAGCGAGGAGGTGACTTGCTACAAATGTGGAAAGACAATGCATTACGCCAGCAAGTGTACATCCAACAATAGGCTGTGCTACATATGTAACAAAGAAGGGCATGTTTCTAAAGACTGCCCGAAGAGAAAACGAGGCAGCAAGGCCAGAAACGCCACCAAGGCCAAGGGCATTCCACATGATCCTTGACAAGGCAGAAAACGACGCGAGAAACCGAGGATGAGGAGTTCATATCCGAAGATCGAGTTATGCAGTAGCCATAGTATCATATCATATGATGTAGCCTATTAGAGGCATAGTCTAGGGTGAACTTGAACATCTATGTAATCGTTTCAGGAAATAATATAAAAACATTCGTTTTGTTATCTGATGTGTCAAGTTGTTATGTGATTTTCTCGTATGGTGACTTGGATGAACTGCGAGACAATACTTGGGACGAGTATGAGTAGGTGTGAATGGTAGTAGAGGCCTATACTACCGGAAGCATAGGACTCACGCTTGGATCAGGGAAGGTCACCAGGTTACCAAGGAGCTAGTAATTAACTTCGTTTTATTCAAGTATGTCGTTACTATTGTTTCGGTAATGATTGAAAAGATGATTATTATTCCGACCCGAGAGGTCATATCATATCGATTCCGACTAAGATGAGTATGTTACGTGGTTCAGAGAACCAAGTTTGATGTAGCATCCGACTTAAGCCAGAAGATTGAAGTGAAAGATAGTCAAAGAAATTGTGATTGTTGTTAAAGAAAGAAACTTGTAGTTAGAAGTGCTACGTGCCAGAATGTGATTAAATCACATTAGATCATGAAGGAAGGTATAGTCTGTTCTGGAATTTGATTGTAAGAGACCTGAGTCTAAGCATTGCAACATACGACGAAAGGTCGTTAGAACGAGGCACGTCAATCTATTATAGAAATCAAAGAATTTATTCTTAAGTTTGTCAAGAAGAAGAAGGAGTCTCCAGTAAGGATCGAGATTGTGACTTGACGGTCATAATTTGGAGTCTAATGCGAGGTAGGGAACAGGTGCAAGATCGAGCACCGCCTGTCGTCAAGGAGTCTAAGAGTTAGATACTCGTTCGAAGAAACATCAAAGTTACGGTTATCACTTAGGATGAAGAGATAACGGATGGAGTCATCATGTGAGCCCTGTTTCGTTGATTATTCCGGGACGTAATCATCCTAAGGGGGAGATAATTGTAACACCCGTAGATCCGGGCTAGTCAATTTAAAGATAATAGGGGTCGAAAACGACTTTTCGACAAAAGATTATTTAGAATAAATAATCTTAACCAAGTTGTAGCATAGGTCACAAGGTTTCCGTGCATATAAAGAACACCGAAATCCAAGTTATAACGAAGAAGTTATGACCCGTCGAAATTTTACGGCAAAACCGGCACGGCACCGGGAGACGTAAATAGTGAATTTACGATAGAGCGACTTTTAGCCTTAGCAATCTAAACGAAAGTCGTAGAATATGTTAAACCGAGAGCATCCATAAAAAGAACGCCCAAATCTGACTTCATATGAGGAAGTTATGATTTTTCGAAGTTTCGGCTTAGCAGTGTACAGCCCGAAGTTCGAATATTAGATCGAGCGGTTTTTAGCCGACACAACCAAAAGAGAATCGAAGATCTCGTCAATAGTAGCGTATCGATAAAAAGACAGACGAAAACGGACGTCGGATGAAGAAGTTATGAATTTTTAACGGACCAATCATGTCCGGCCTATTAAAAATATAAATTTAAAATAAATTCAAAACTAGCCGACGAAGTCTAAACGAAAGTTGTAGAGTACGTTCCCGCCTACGCGTGGATATAAAGAACGTCGAAAAACGGAGCTCGTATGAAAAAGTTATGATTTTTAGAAGTCGGAGTGTGAATTTGCGAAATCTGTTGCGAAGGTGATGACGTGGCTCAATCAGGACCGTCGCTTGCTGATCATGGTCTAGTCTTCGGATTCGGACACCTGTACTTCAGACGCCCAGCGTAGCCAAGAAGCGCCTCGCGTACGAGGTACGTCATGCGTACGAGGAGGGAGCAATGCACGTACGCCAAGCCTTCTGCGGTCCGAGAAGCAGCCACGATGCACCATCAGCGAAGCGACACGTCTCAAGAGGAACGCGCCGCGTCCAAGGCTACGTGCCGCATAGTCCGAGGACCTCCGGCCTATAAATTGAATGCGAGATTTCCCAGATTTTCACACCTTTCTCACTTCTCTCTCTAACTTCTTTCTCTCTCTAACCCATTCCAACCCCCCTAAACCCTAGGGAACCTCCCTAGCACCCGAAGGAAGCCCCGAGGCTCCCGGAGTCCCGAGAAAATGGGTCTTTCGGTTCGGAAACGTTGCTCCAAGCGAAGCCCGGTTTTTCTTTAAAATCCGCTGTAAGTGAGCTACGCCTATGAAATTTTTAATATAACTTTTAAATAATTATAGTAATGTTATTAGGTCCTTAAAATAATTATTCGGCCTATTATTATGAGTTATATAGAGTGTTGTTTAACACTTATATAATAATAATAATAGCTAGACTATTAATTAGTCGCGGTTAACGTTAGACTAAACTCTAGTGGTATTGCTACTAGATTTTGGTCAAGGAAAAATTGTTTTGAGATAACGAAGTGTTGTTCGAGTGCCGAGTCACCACCTTTTCAAGTGAGTGCATAGTTACTTTCATCTTACACATAGATCTGAAGTATTTTATATAAATTACGTGCTACGTGTGCATATTATCTGTATACTTGCTATCTATGCTGGATGAACGAGTTTATACATATTTTAAATAATTTAAATTGTATATGTATTTATATCTACATAATATGTTAGGTAAAACATGGGTAGATGAAATATGAGTTTGATGATGAGTTGAGAGGTGATATAGACCATGAGGTAAGGGTGAGAGGTGGACGATGTGAAAAGCCTTTTTCCTAAATGATGTCCCCGTCATCTAGCAGAGTATGGATGACAACCACGGATTATTCTAGACAGTCCAGTGGAACACTAGCAGGCTCGCAACCTGTAGGTGTTGTGAACGATGTGTTCACCCGGTGTACTCTAAACCTTGGCGATCATGCAGACTTGGTGCCAAAACCCTGGCGACTTTGCGGACTTAGTGCCTATTGTATAAATCCTGGCGACTATGCAGACTTAGTGCCTAAACCCCGGTGACGATGGACTTCGTGCTGATTCCTTAGGATGATCCTTAGGAATGAATGAACGAGGAATAGTTGATTTTTTTAGGATAGATCCTTAAGAGTAAAGAAGATAATGGGGACGGGTAATTGGGTTGATTGTTTGATGTTTAAACATAATAATTATATTATGGTGGGTTGAAAACCATATGTACTCACCAGGTTTCCCAACCTGACCCACTCTAGCTTATTTCTATCACAGGTGTCGATATGAAGTCACATTACACTGAGAGATTAAGGAGATATAAATCACTAGTGATAATGAATGTAAGTTCTGTTTATGCTTATGTTTCTGTATTGACGATGACATCCCAATGTTTTAAAATGAATAAAAATACATTTCTTCGGAAATGCTTTGATAACGTATTTATCATGTTTTTTTGGGAACAAATTCCGCAACATTTTTATTAAAAGAGGTACTCTGATTTTTATAAAGCATAAACAAAATCGGTCTTTTCTGGCCATGAAAATGGGGATGTCACACTATTGAACTATAAAACTCATATATGTCTCTTAATTACTGACTATGATACATATTGACAATTACAGAGGTATTGACTATGTTGTTGCTAATAATGAAATCTCTGGAAGAGCTCCAGATCTTCCCTATTTGATAAAAACAGGTTACCTTCTTTTTTTCTTCCACTATTGTTGATAAGTGATAACTTCTCTTTAAGTAGTCATAATTTAATATGCTTCAAGAAACAAATTCTGATGACACTACTATGTGATTAGGTATGTCAGCGGAAAAATGAATCACAATTGCAAGCAACTATTATGGTGCTAATGATCTCTGTAAAGGTACTAATGTTATACAAATACAATAAAGTGTATAATTTTCTCTTTTTGTTATTGCAGTAATCATGTTTCTTTCTTTTTTATTTGTATATTGATAGAGTGCATGTACTAGTGGTTGGTTCAATAAGAAAGAGAAGGAAGAACTTAACCTTCTCTCAGAAGAGGCTTGTGAATTGTTTTAGGCTTGTGAATGTTGAAGATATGAATTCCAATATGAAGAACAAGGAGGCTTGTGAATTGTTTTAGTCAAGAGGATAAAGATTTAGCAGGATGGAGTGTTCTTGATGTTGGAACAGGCAATGGGCTACTTCTTCAAGAGCTTGCTAAACAGGGGTATAGTATTATACATAATAACACTTATTCCTCCTTTTGGTATGATGATAATTGATAAATCATTCTTTATTACTTTGATGTTGGTGTAAATAGGTTCTCTGATCTCATTGGAATAGATTATAGTGAAGGAGCAATTAACCTTGCTAGAAGCCTTGCTAATCGTGATGAATTAATTGGTATCAAACTATTGGTTGATGATGTTCTTGAAACAAAATTGGAGAAAAAGTTTGAGCTTGTTATAGAATAAGGAACCTTAGATGCTATTGGTCTTCATCAAGATGGACCCATCAAAAGGTATATAAATGAGAGAATCACAAAAGAACTTCAAAAAGGAAAAAGAGTTAAATTTTGTTTTGTTTAAATTACAGGATTATGTATTGGGAATCTATGTCAAGACTTGTAGCTCCTGGTGGACTATTGGTAAGTTACAATTTGCATTTACTCATATTTAATGTTTTTTATTTTTTATTTTACAGCTCCTGATATACATCGATCCAACAACACAAAGTTCCAGGGATATGCTTGGTATTGACACTCGAGGTTGAAAACTTCAACGTCATGTCAGGGATAAATATAAACTTATTTCGAGTTTGGTCCATTATACCCTTGGTTGTCATTCATGGGAGTTTTCTGCATAAAACCCTAAAATGAAAAGAAAAACTTGAAAATAATATTTGGTTAACATTTTTGTTTTCTGTGTATGATTAAATCTGTTTCACAAAAACATTTTTACCTTTTCTTATAAAATTAATATCAATAATAAGTTGAATATCGGTAAACGGTGTAATCTATTCTATATTTTGTATTTTGTAATAAATTAAGTTAATATAAAATTATTACAGGAAGAGCCAGTGGATAAGACAAAACATTGGGGTGATTTAGAGGAAGAAGAGGAGGAAGAGGAAGAAGAGGAAGTGGAAGAGCAATATGAGGAAGGGGATTTGGAAGATGGCATTCAATCAGTTGATACCCTTTCAAGGTCTTATTTTCTATTTCTTTTTTAACCATCTTTTTATTATCATTATTATTATAATAATAAAATGTGTTTAAAAAACTGATTCATTTTTTCTTTTTTTTTTCTCCTCAGTATCCCAACTGGTGTTGAAACTCCAGATGTTATTGACCTCCGCAAACAGCAAAGGAAGGAACCCGAGAAACCTCTGTATCAGGTAGCTTTTTCTTTTCATGCTTACATTTATATATATTTTTAATACAAATGTTTTTATATATATTTAAATAATATATCCAGTGGTTTTACTTTTATCATTTATGTTGTTTGATTTGGTAAAGGTGCTGGAGGAAAAAGAAGAGAAGATAGCCCCAGGAACTTTGCTTGGAACTACACATACGTATGCAATCTACTTCTTTCCTTTTTTTACTTCAATAATCAATATAATGCATTTATATGTTCAAAGGTAATTTTTGGAAGAGTTTCAAAGGGGCTGCACAAATTCTTGAGAAGGGTGGATATTCCCTTTTTACCCCTCATTATATCACATGGTATTGTCCTCAGGCATTCACGATTAGTAACCAGTGTAAATCACAGTGCAATCTACTTCTTTCCTTTTTTACTTCAATAATCAATATAATGCATTTATATATGTTCAAAGGTAATTTTTGGAAGAGTTTCAAAGGGGCTGCACAAATTCTTGAGAAGGGTGGATATTCCCTTTTTACCCCTCATTATATCACATGGTATTGTCCTCAGGCATTCACGATTAGTAAACAGTGTAAATCACAGTGTATAAATCATGGAAGGTATTGTGCACCTGATCCTGAACAGGATTTTAGCACAGGGTATGAAGGAAAAGATTTGGTTATTGAAAATTTGAGACAATTGTGTGTGTTTAAAGTGGAAAATGAGAGTGGAAAAGCGTGGATTTGGTGGGATTATGTTACATATTTTCAAATAAGGTGTCCCATGAAAGAGAAGTATAATAAGGAGTGTGTTGATGAGGTCATCAAATCCCTAGGTAAAGTATATGTTCAGGGTTTAGGGTTTAAGGTTTATTCATAGTAATATTTTTTTTGTGAATATGTAGAACTTGATTTGGGAAAGATTGAGAAGTGTATGGGAGACCCTAATGCGGATTCTGACAATATTGTCCTTAAAGAAGAACAAGATGCTCAAGTATGTTTGTTATATTTTTTTTAATATATATTTTTAGACATTAATATAATGTTTTTTTGAGCATTGATTGGTTTTGGGAATATAATTAATGGACAACTATGGAATTTTCAGATTGGGAAGGGGTCAAGAGGTGATGTAACCATATTGCCCACACTTGTGGTTAATAATAGACATTACCGAGGTTAGTTTTTACATTTATTGATGGAATGGAATGGAATAGAATGAAGGAATGGAATCAACCATTCCATTCCTTACATTACTCAATCTTTGTTCACAGGAAAGTTAGAAAAAGGTGTTGTTTTGAAGGCCATTTGCTCTGGTTTTGAAGAAACAACTGAGCCTGCTGTTTGTCTTAGTGATGGTAAAACCCTAAATCTATAGTCTTCATTTTTATTTTATTTTTTGTAAAAAGTTATTCAAGAATTCTTATTTACTAAAAAAATATAAAAATTGGAAGGTGTGGAAACAAACGAGTGCTTGGAGAATAATGGTGGTTGCTGGCATGATAAATCCACCAATGTCACTGCATGCAAGGTACCTTTTTTTTATATCTCATAGCTCAAAATTTTATAAAACTCTGCTTATATTTTTTTATAAATTTTATATAGGATACATTTCGTGGGAGAGTTTGTGAGTGTCCTTTGGTTGATGGAGTACAATTCAACGGAGATGGGTATACCTCATGTGTAGGTATGATGATGAGGTGGTTATTGGCAACAACTCCCTTTGTCTCCTATACTTTGTCAGATCACACCCTTTAATTGTACATAATTCACTATTTCCTTAAAATTGCAGAAGTTGGTTGAAGGATACTTGCTTAGAGCTGCTCAAAGAAACTCAGGTTTTTTTAGGGACATCTACAGATTAGTGGTCAGCCACGTGTCAAGGTATTCTTTTATTTATTAAGATGTTATCTAAAGTTCTTAATACTTCACACAAGTTCTTAATATTTGCTAATTTTCTGCTTGCATGTCTTTATGGCATGGAAGTGCAAAATGGAGATGAAAAATGCAAAAGAGCCTGAGTTCATGCTTCATTGAGATCATCATCATGTTTAAAGGTTAAACACTTATTTTCCCCATTAAGTAAAAAGGGTGACAAATCCATTGTGTATCCCGTAACATATATGTTGCTATTGTGACATGTTGAACAACTTTCAGCAATTTTATTTTCATGGTGAGGATTTGCTCAGTCTTGATTTCTTGTTTTCTGCATAGTTTGTGAATCTATGCTGTTGTAAAATATAACCTCTGGTTTTTTAATCTTTGCAGAGTGTAAAAAGCTTGCAGATGTTCACTTTTCCCTCATTTGACCACTCACATTTGGCACAAGTATTTGCAACTAACATTCCTTGTTTGATTCTTCTATTAATTATATCTTTTAAGTTTGTAGAAGGTGTCCCTTGATACGCAATGTAGTATTAGGTTATATAGTTAGGGAAAACCTTTTAATAACAATGTATAATTGGATCCCATTAATATCAATGTATTACAATTTTTTGACATGATGTTATTTGATGAAATTGATTGCTTTGATTTGTTTACATATTTTTGTATTATTCGTAAATGAGTATCGTAAAGACGTGTCGTAAATGCATATCGCAAATGGTTACTGAAGTTTATGATACGCAAATGTGTGTCATCTTCATTTATGACAGGGGCTTCCTTGATACGCATTGTGTGTCATAAACACATGCGTCGTAAGGTTACGACATGCAAATGTGTGTCGTCTTCCTTTATGACAGGGCCTTCCTTGATACGCATTGTGTGTCATAACTGCGTGTCATAAATGTGTGTCGTAAATGTGTGTCGTAAATGCGCGTCGTAAATAGACGACGCGCAAAAGCGTGTTGTCTTTCGTTATGACAGGGCCTTCTTTGACATGCATTTGCGCGTCGTCTGAGCGTTTTACGACACGCATTGCGCGTCGTAAAAGGTTCTTTTTCTAGTAGTGATTGTGTGTTATTTAATGGTTCTCATTAAATAAACATTCCTCATAAAAGCGAAACATTCATTTTGTAGCATACAACGTTTCAGTTTCTTTCAAAATCACTTTTCTGTGTCAGACCTATTTTGGGCTATAAAACAAATAAATAATTTTTCTATAAAAGAAATCTTTTGAGAAAATCTTTTTGTTTATTATGTCACGTCTCATAGCCCCCAAACTGTCAATTCTGTTTCAACTTCTTCTTTTTACAACGGATAAGACCCCGTCGCCACATATTCTACAAAGTGTAATCATGGGTCTGATAGTCATTAAATGCCCCGGTTTCCAAGCAAATATTTTATTTTTCCTTTTTGATTTAATTTTCTTTTTCTGTGGCAGATAATGGCTAAAACCCAAGGGTTTTTACCATTAGCAGTTATAAAAAGTTAATTCCAATAATATTTGAAATCCGAAGGTATAAAAACCCCCCTTTTCCTCCCAAGAAAGCTTTACGCTTTCTGAATCCCTAATCGACAAACAAGCTTCATCTTCTTCCCTCTTGCACAAAACAGTTTTCCTGCAAGTTCCTCAAAACCTTTATTTTAACAATGGTGAAATCTGGCGTTTCCAAGAAGCAATCAAAGGCCTCAGGGTCAGCGAAACCAACTAGTTCAGACACAACGATCAAGGTTCAATCCCCAGCCATTGCTTCAAGCAACTTTAGGGCTTTATTTGAAGATCAACCTCACTACAATGACGCAATTTGCCTGATGATCCAGTTCATTCCATCTCATCCATTGTTTGGTGATTTTGATGCATTCACTAATGTCGTTCCACTTCCCACACTATTCAAATGTGCTTTTTCTGCATTTCGACCACTTCATAACCTTCAAGAAGTGCACCTGCACTTAATCGATGATTCACTGGTCATGCTCACAAAGAACAAGTTTCTGGAAGCCATTAATCTCAGAGTTCCTCCCAACACCAAGTTTTTCTCACCGAGCACATCCGACATCATCACCACTCTGTACCAGATGGGGTACCAAAAGAAATTGAAAAGGATTGGCGAGTTCAAGAAAAATCAATTACCGACGGTGTGGCAATTCATCTGTCACTTTGTGATTAGAAGTTTGTCCGGCAGAACAGGTGGCACGGACAACATGGGGATCAAGCTTCTCGAGCTTGTGTGGAGCATCTTCACTGGCAACGCGGTCAACTTCGGTCAAATCTTGTGGGATGACTTCCTACAGTACATACCTAAGGAGACTCCTCGACAAGATGCTACAGAGCTTACCTTTGCTTGTTTTTGGGCTCTCTGCGTCTCAGATCTTCACAAGGAGGCGAAGCTAGATATGGGTGACGATTCCACACTCTTTATCACCCGCGACTTGAAAAGGTACACCCCTTCCAAAGATCAATCTGTTTTTGGACCTCTTAGGAGACTACCTGGACACATCCTAGAGTCTATTGGACTCAATTCTCATGAAGTCTCTGGCCACGTTGAGGCTACGGATGGTATTGACCCATACCATTCCTCCCCACCTCATCCAAGTCAGGCTAATGTAGTTCCTACCAAAACTCAAGGTCCTTCTAGTACCGCAGCTCCTACTTCCACTTCAGTCCCTCCTACCGAAGAACAATCTAACCCTCCCAAAACCACGCGGCGCAAGCAGATTGTTTTATCTAAGAGAGCCCCCCGTAACATAGTCACAAAGGGTGACAATCCCTCCAGGAAACGCTAGACAAGGTTTATTGAATCTTCAGATGAAACCCCTCTGTCACAACCCAAAAATTTCTATCTTATAAGGTCAAACACATCAACTTAAGGTCAAACTTATGGGTTCCTAGACCAAGTATAAGTCAGGGCTGTGTGTTGGGAAGTGAACCATGTAAGAACCAAGAGCCTAGAACAACATTCGAGCCAAAAAAAACTCAACAAGTGAGGTTCACGGCCAAGAAGGATGTTCACGACCGTGAACCCTTCTTAGGCCGTGAACTCATGCTATAAGTATGAGTTTTAGCCATTTTTTCCTTCACTTCTTCGTCTCTTGGCCGCAAACAACCCATTCTCTCTCTAGTATCATCCTCAAGAACACTCTTTTCTTCCCTTAAACACCCCTTTTCCTTTGCTACTCCTTAGAAGCTTACTGGGATCTTCAAACACTTGCCAAAACACCAAGATCTTCAAGTGTTCTTCACCATTTCTGGGCCGTGAACCCTCCCAAGGCCATAAACCCTTCAAGTGGGCCGTGAACCATTCATCATTTGGGCCGTGAACCTTCATTTGGGCCATGAACCATCCTTATTGGGCCATGAACACTCATGTGTTCTTGGGCCGTGAACACCCCCATAGGGCCGTGAACACATCAAGCCCAGCCGTGAACTCCATTTTCAGCCTTCCAACTTGCTTCTAACACTCCTTTGGTGAGTTATTCTTGCATCCTAGGTTGTTTCCCAATCACCTTTGTAGTTAGAATCACTAATTCCATGCTTATATGTATCATTTCATGCTATTTAGGACTCATTTGTGTTCGGGACTTCATTCGTGGAACTTATCATCCTTATTCGAATCTTCACTTGAATCACCCACATAAGGTGAGCTCGTACCCCTATAATCTATCTTTTAAATGGTTTTAAATGTTGTTAGGGGGGATACAAGTTGAACACAATTAAATTAGGTAAATATTTACCTGTGATAACCATCACATAAAAGGATGTTAGATTGTTGATATTAAAATCCCATTTTTAAAGTACATGCTTAGCTCAGTTTCTAATAGAGTCTTTTCTACAAATCAGTAGCAGTTCAAACAAATATACTAGTAAACTATAATAGGTATAGTTTAGGGGATCAGTGCATACTATATTCTAGAACAAAGGAACAATACATGAGTCACGTACATATACTTTACACTCCCAGTAACCTAGGAAAGGAACGTATCATTAATTCATTTGTTTAAAACAAAATATGATAATACACAAAGTATATGGATATATATATGGGGTACATCTACAAAGTACCGGGTTATATATGGGGTACATCTACAAATTATCGGGTTATATATGGGGTACATCTACAAAGTACCGGGTTATATATGCGGTACATCTACAAAGTACCGGGTTTTATTTAAAAAGGGTACATCTACAAAGTACCGGACAATAATAAATAAAACATAGCAATATATAATACTCACACCAGTATCGACTAAGGCGTTTAGAGTACGAGATTTCATAACTTCTAGTAGTCTTCCTAAACAATAAAACTGTGCCACATAACTTTCCTAGTAACATGAACATTCAGTTAAAAGGGGTCCTATAATGCTAACTTTATGATTCCTCGGTAGATATATTACGGTTATATATTAATCAGATCCGACAGGCAGTAGGATGTGTGCTTTCCGCTTCACTTCCTGTTCCTTGTTTGGTTGTGGGCTTAGAGCAAATTCACACAGTCTACTATCTATTTGATCTTAGTTATATATATAACACGTATACACCAAGTAATCATAGGGAGTAACAGGTATGGTTCAGGTCATAACATACAAATACAACATACCACTTTCTAGTACAAAAACATACTTTTCGGATAGAATATTAAGTAGGTGAAACTAGAAACTTATCGATAAAAGGTTTAATTCGTTTTATTAAACTAGTATAACATAAAGGACCTCAAATGGTGCATTCTATAATTCCTTGGTTTATACATCAGGGTTATATATAATTAATATCCGATAGGCAGTGGAATGTGTGACTTCCGCCTCATTTCCTGTTCCTTGTTAGGTTGTGGGCTTAGGGCAGATTCACACATTTAACTGTACGTTCGATATTAGATTATATATAGCTAGTATAAACTAAGTGATTATAGAAGGAACTATTGTGGTTACCATTTTACTAAAGGAAATATATTATTTTTCTTAAGGAATGTTTTCTTCAAATATAATAGAACTATTACAGTTAACTCCGTAAGTACCAAATGAATACGCCAGGGTTATATACAATGAAGACCTAACAAACAATGGGATGTGTGACTTCCGCCTCATTTCCTGTTCCTTGTTTGGTTGTGGGCTTAGGGCAGATTCACACAATCGATTGTCTGTTTACTCTGGATTGTATATAACTTGTATCCATTTAGTACTCATAGAAGGAATTGTAGAGTCATTTTACTTATCATTTTATCACATCAGAAAATATAGGATTTTTTGGAGGAACAGGCGAACTTTTCTAAAATAACTTATAGTATACTTATTATAATTAAAATACTTATGAACTCACCAGCTTAAATGTTGATCTACTCTTTCAAAATAACTTGTATTCTCAGGAAACTAGTAGACAGGTACGCGCTCAGGGATGGAGCATAGTAGCTTTATGTCTTGTTTTGTTATTTTACTT